GAGAGAGAGAGAGAGAGAGAGAGAGAGAGAGAGAGAGAGAGAGAGAGCGCTGAGATAGACCAGACACTGGTCCTCAACTCTCTGCGCTAAGTCAAGTCCGCGGGAGTCATTCATTCCTCCGGTGACGTCTCCGCCCGCTCCTTGCAGCGGGGTTCGGCCGCCCTGCTGCTGTCGGGGTCCGGCTTTCCGGAGAAACTTCCGTCGCGGCTGCGCACCGAGCCTGTGCACGCACCAGGGACGGTATAAGTGAGTGTCCGCGAGCGAGGGCAGGTGAGGAAGTCGCCAGAAAGGGAGGTTAGTTAAGCCACGGGGCTCTTACCCGCGGGCAGGAAAGCCGGCGGCTAGCCCGGGCTGGGGCGCGGGCCGGAGGACGCGCGGGGTCCCGGCGGCCGCGGGGGCCGGGCCGGGCCGCTCTCCCCGCACCTGTTGCCGCGCTGCGCGGCTCTGACTCGGCTTCCCGGGGAGGCTGGGCGAGGCCGGGCTCGCGGGGAAGTTCGGGCCGAGCGGGAGAGCTCCGCGCTGCAGAGGAATCCGGAGTCTCGGCTCCACCCCTGCAGCCGGGGAGTGAGGAGGACAAATCACGAGCGACTCTGGGGTTGGGGGGGGGGGTAGGAGCGCGGGGACACTCTCCAGCCACTAGGATGTGAGGGAGCGCGTCCTGAGACAGCCCGGGACCGCGCTCCCGAAGCAGACGGCGCCGGGGCTCCGCGAGCATCCCTCGCAGAGCCGCCCTCCGCGCGCCGGACCGCGCCGCCGAGAGACCGCGGGGAGGGAGGCCGGAGCGCAGAGCCTAGGGCGCGGGTTCGGGTCCCCCTCGGGGGCGAGAGGGAAGCCGCCCCCGCGGGCCGGGCGCTCCAGGCGCTGCCCCGCCAGCATGAGTCTCCCGCGAGGCTCCCACGGTGGGCCGGCGGGCAACTCCAGCCCGTGGTGGCCCGCGACCGCCGAGGGCGCCAACGGCAGCCGGGAGGCGGCGGGGCCCGGGGCGGGCGGCGGGCCGGCGGGCGACGTCCGCGACGAGGAGCTGGCGAAGCTGGAGGTGGCCGTGCTGGCGGTGATCCTCGCCTTGGCCGTGCTGGGCAACGGCAGCGTGCTGCTGGCGCTGCACCGCACGCCGCGCAAGGCGTCGCGCATGCACCTCTTCATCCGCCACCTCAGCCTGGCCGACCTGGCCGTGGCCTTCTTCCAGGTGCTGCCGCAGCTGTGCTGGGACATCACCTACCGCTTCCGCGGGCCCGACTGGCTGTGCCGCGTGGTGAAGCACCTGCAGGTGTTCGCCATGTTCGCGTCCGCCTACATGCTGGTGGTCATGACGGCCGACCGCTACATCGCCGTGTGCCACCCGCTCAAGACGCTGCAGCAGCCCGCGCGCCGCTCGCGCCTCATGATCGCCGCCGCCTGGGCGCTCAGCTTCGTCCTGAGCACGCCGCAGTACTTCATCTTCTCCATGGTGGAGATCGAGGTCAGCAACGGCACCAAAGCCCAGGACTGCTGGGCCACCTTCATCCAGCCCTGGGGCACCCGCGCCTACGTCACCTGGATGACCAGCGGCGTCTTCGTGGCCCCCGTGGTCGTCCTGGGCACCTGCTACGGCTTCATCTGCTTCCACATCTGGCGCAACGTGCGCGGGAAGACGGCGTCGCGCCAGGGCAAGGGCGGCAAGGGCTCCGGGGAAGCTGCGGGTGCCCTCCACAAGGGGCTTCTGGTCACGCCCTGTGTCAGCAGCGTGAAGACCATTTCCCGCGCCAAGATCCGCACGGTGAAGATGACCTTTGTCATCGTGACTGCCTACATCCTCTGCTGGGCGCCCTTCTTCATCGTCCAGATGTGGTCAGTCTGGGATGAGAATTTCATCTGGACCGGTATGTACGGAGACCATGGAGGGTGAGAGAGAGAGAGAGAGAGAGAGAGAGAGAGAGAGAGAGGGAGAGAGAGACACAGAGAGGGAGAGAGACAGAGACAGAGACAGAGAGAGACAAGAGAGAGACAGACAGAGAGACAGAGACAGAGAGAGACACAGAGAGAGACAGACAGAGACAGAGACAGAGAGGGAGAGAGACAGACAGAGAGAGGGAAAGAGAGAGAGGTGGATTTTTCATAGGACCTGCTCAATACTTAAGCTTCTATGTGCATACGATTGCAAGTCTTCCATGTCACATCATGGAAATAAATGAGCAAAAATGCAAGTTCCTGGGGCCTCCATCCCAGGTAGGTTGGGGCCCAGGTGTCAGCACCTGTGGCGTGTGTGGCCCTCCCAAGGCTGCCACCGGGCCTAGAGTCACCCACTAGCTGCACAGCAGTAGTGTCATTTTGCCAGATGACTCGGGCTTCTTGGATGCCTTGCCTTCCGGCCCCCGTGGGGGCTCGGGGAAGGAGTCTTACTGTCCTGGCTGCTTTTTGTTGGGTTAAGGAGACTCTCATAAGTAACAGAAAACATTTGATGACATGCTTCCAAGATCAGCCATAGAGATGGAAACAGATGGGGAAAGAATTTAAGAAGTCGCGACTTCTAAACCGGCAGTTCTAAACATGCCTCCTCCTTTCCTACACCATAATAACTTTCTCTTCCTAGCACTCCAAAGCAGGAGTGTTGATCAGATAAATTCTCCGGCCTTTGAGCGCGGATTGGACAACAGAACTATCGACACCACACAAATCGCCCTGTGGTGTACTGTGAAAGCTCCCCACCCCTCTGGCTAGTTTCATTTTAGTTACTTCACAAAACCGAAAAACTCATCTCCCAGGGGGGTATTATTTAATTTTTCATCTTGTAATACATTTTCTTTTAATTAGAAAAAAAAAAAAAACTTTTTCTAAACCAAGTGTGTTACAGAAGTGTTTGATGAGAACTTTAGTCAGGATTTAAATATCTGGGAGAATCCTTTTTTTTTTTTTTTTTTTGTAATTTTAAGATTGAGGCATGGAATACATGAAATGTATTTTAATACGCTATTTCTTAAATGTTCATAGATTCCATTTAAACAAATATTTCCATAGGCTACCCTGCCAGTAATGATAAATGAGGCAAAGTTCTTTTTGTCAGTGCCAACCAATGTTTGAAATTCTACCTAGCGCTTCGTTGAGATTTGGACACAATTAGAACGGTTTTCACTTTTGGAGGACGTCTGTTATTTTTTTAATGCTATGCGTGGCTGTGGCCACCTGCAGCACCTCGCACAAAGCGCTGGACTCTGGAGAGCAGCGGTCCTCAGCCTTCCTAATGCTGCCACTCTTTAATACAGTTCCTCATGATGTGGCGATGCCAACCATAAAATTATCCTCACTGCTGCTCTGCAACTGTAATTTTGCTACGGTTCTGAATCCTGATGTGATAAGCAGACGGTCTGAGGTGAGCCCTGTGAAAGGGCGGGCCATTTGTCATGACCCACAGGCTGAGAACCGCAGGTCTACAGTTCATTTTGCCATGACGGAAGTGAGATGATCCACGTTTGTGTGGTTCTTATTTTTTAATATCAGTTCAATAGTTTCACTGTGAAAAGTTGTGATATCCACATAGTTTGCCAGGGGTAGTTGAGAGAATATTTCAAAATCTTGTTGGGATTTTCTTGCTGTCTGTTTTAATTTTGTTTTGTTTTGTTTTTGTTGTTTGAAACAGGGTCATATATAACCCAGATGTTTTTCTTATTATAATTTAATTGTTTGAACTACAATCAAAGACAGTCTTTTAAAATCAAGCCAAATGCCTAATGATTCACAAAAATTCGACTAAAGCTAGCATTCTATTTTAACTGCTAGCATTCTGTTTTAACTACCATCTTTCATAGAGTTTCCATTTAAGTCTCCTAAACACAATCCATTTGTCATACTCTGCCCAAGTTATTAAGATGAATACAAATAGGGGGGTGTGGTTATAAACACTTCAAATTTCCATTCTGCAAATGCCATGTCTGTTCACAAAGGCTTCTGCCACTGTGCAGTGGACAGGAAGTTTTGTTCAAATAAATTAATCAATAACTTCATCTTCTTGGAATCCCTGTTCATTACATTGACCTGTTCTAACAGTGATTGGTTTAAACTATTTGAAGTAAGATATTTTCTTTTACAACCAACTTCCAAAAAGCACTCATTTCCCTGAAACACCATTTCCCTAACAAATAAGATGTTCGTTTGCATACTAACATGCAGCTTTTGAGTCATTAATCAGTAGGAAAGTAGACTAGGCAGGCGCAGTGTGCAGGGTCTTGCTTTGTCTGGGTAAGTGACCTCTCTCCGCATTTTCATACAGATTCGGAAAACCCATCCATAACCATCACAGCGTTACTGGCCTCTTTGAACAGCTGCTGCAACCCATGGCTATACATGTTTTTTAGCGGCCATCTTCTGCAAGACTGTGTCCAAAGCTTCCCGTGCTGCCAAAGCATGGCCCAGAAACTCACCAAAGATGACTCGGACAGCATGAGCCGAAGACAGACTTCTTACTCGAACAACCGAAGCCCGACAAACAGCACTGGGACGTGGAAGGACTCGCCGAAATCTTCCAAGTCCATTAAATTCATTCCTGTGTCCACCTGAGCCTCCATGCAGCCCGACTCTGAGCAACTTTGGGGTCCGTTATCTAAATCCGGCTAGAGATCATAAGAGCAGAGGAGGCTATGTGAGATAGAAATAAATCAACTCAACATGTACATTGTTTCTAGCTGTGTTTTCCCGTTGCTGTGACCAAAAACTGAATTCTTTTGCATAGAATAGTAATGAAAATGTGCTACACAGAAATGTGCTGGCCTGCTTCATAACTATACTGACTTTATATTTTGTGGTTGATGGTTTTTTATTGTACTTTTATTTCTGACATAAGTGAGGCTTGATTGGTTTAAGTCATGTGATAAGCACTGTTTCCAACGAAGTTAACTCATTCATGATTTAAAGACTCGTGTTGCTGTCAATTTGTCCATGGTTAAATGTCAGCAAGAGGTATAGGGGGTTTGGTTGAGAATGAAAAGGAAGTAGGTCAACCTGGCAGTCCTTCCTTCACAGCCCTGATCTTCTATTGGCTCTTAAAAACATGTTTACTAAGAGGTTTGAAAATGCTATGGACAGACCAGTAATTTGTATGAGGGCTGCTACACTTTATAGAGGCATAGGAGGAACACCTTCTCTTGGAAGATCTGTGTTTTAAACATCTGTTGACCAGCATCATAAGGTACCCTGAGCTATGCCAGATGTTAATGCTCAGTACCTATTTGGTGATTCCGGATTCAGAGATTTTAAAGTCTCCTAGAGTAACGCCACATATAATGTACTCACTACAGGTTTGGTTTAAACAATTTATTCATTTCTTCTCATTTCCAGTCGACACAACAGGTCCAGAATCCAGAGGATCCAGAGATGAGGGGAAACAGGAGACAGGCCGAAAGGAAAAGGGACTGAGCCTTGTCTGAGTTCCTGCATTAATGTATGACTAACGATATCCTTAAAAATATGTAAAGCCTCGGTTTCTTGGCTGCACAGTGGCTTGGTAAAACTCACTTCACAGGGTTGTTGTAAGGATTAAATAAAATTAAACGTGTGAAGAGTTTTTAAAAACCATAAAGTAATATATACATGAGCCAGCAAGTTGTTTTTAGTGTGCTCTTGGGATCTTCAGAACTACAGATTTTTCTTTCTCAGCCTCTTTCTCATGAACTAACATCTGTTGTTGCATGGCTGGAACATGAAATCCTAGCACTTAAATATAGATCTGCTGATTCATTGTAAAGCCTTGCCTGCCGCTACCGAGCCTGGTCCTCCATGCCACAGCAGTCGTCCGGCACTGAGCTAGAACTCACTTTCAGTGCAGATAAGACAGGGCCATTTCTAATGGAAGATAAATTACAACACTCGTTGGCTGTGTGATTTGCATTTTTCATCAACGAGATTCTGTTGTCCAGTGAGTTCTTTAAGATCAGGTAATGCTGGATGACACAGCACAAATATTTAGCAATTCTCAGCTGCTAAAATAGCTGCTTTTAATAGTATTATCGGCTTTCTTTCTTTCTTTCTTTCTTTCTTTCTCTCTCTCTCTCTTTTCTTTCTTTCTTTCCTTTCTTTTTCCTTCCTTCCTTCCTTCCTTCCTTCCTTCTCTCTCTCTCTCTCTCTCTCTCTCTCTCTCTCTCTCTCTCTCTTTCCCCTGTAGATAAGAGGCCATTGGCTGGATGGCACCACAATAACCTGAAATCATGGGCTTCACTTCTCTTCATTCTGCTGCATTTCCAAATTCTCAGCCCTCAGAGTTTCTGAGTAGATAGGTCAGAAACTGTTTCCAAACATTTGGGAGAGGTCGTTCTCTTGGGTTTTAGAATTCTTCTTCCTAAAATAACAAATTGGGCTGTGATGTCATAAATCACTTGCCTTTCAATCAATCCCTAACACTGAAAAATTATCATACTAAGTAAAAATTAGATGTATGTATGTATGTATGTGTGTGTGTATATATATATA